ATGATGAGAGCCATTCACAGATGAAGAAGCAGGATAAAGAAGAAAACACATTTTGACTTTACCCAAATGGGTCTTGACAGAAGGGAAATGCTGGAAAAGAAAGAGAAGCCAAGAAAGCAAGGTCTGACCATTGCATTTAAAGTCAATGCATACAAAACTTGTACATCTTGCTTTATGAGTTGTAATTAAGAGATTTTTGAAATTCTTGCATAAAATGGATGTACCTTGTGTTTGAAGTCTTGTACTTAAGACTTTGTCTTAAATGCTTATTAATGTAGTATAGATATTAACTTATATACATATACTCCTGTATAATTCATAAAGGAGGATTTTTATAAAAAGTTTTTAAACACAGATAAATACCTGAAAACGCATACCTTAAAAATCTTATCTTTTTTTTTGACGCGTACAGGCCTGGGAAAAGGGAAAATTTTCAGGTGTTACAATCCTCCCCACTTTGGACCAAATTTCGTCCTCGAAATTCTTAGCTTACGGGAAGAGGTGGGGGTAGCGCTTCTTCAAGTCTTCTTCCGCTTCCCATGTCACGTTTGAACCTCGATGAAGTTTCCATTTCACCTTGACCATAACAACCTCTATGTGCCTCAATACCTTGGTTTTGCTTTCTAAGATGGCTTACGGTTCCTCCATGCATTGTTTGTTCTCATTTACACAAATTTCAGAAAGTGGTATCATACTATCTTCTTCCGCCAAACATTTACGAAGGTAACACACATGAAATGTGTTGTGGATTCCGGCCATTTCAGGTGGTAATTCTAATTTATAAGCTTGCAGCCCCACCCTAGCCAAGACTTTAAACGGTCCAAGGAAGCGGGGACTTAGCTTCCCACGCTTTCCAAAACGGATAATACCTTTTCAAGGGGACACTTTTAGCATTATACGGTCACCCACTTGAAATTCTATAGGTCAGCTTCTCTTATTTGCGTAACTCTTTTGTCGATCTTGAGCTGCCTTTAAGCACTCCCGAATACACTTCACTTTGCCGGCCGTTTCCTGAACGATTTCAGGACCAACAAATTATTTCTCACCCGCTTCTAGCCAACACACTGGAGTCCTACACTTCCGTCCGTACAAAGCCTCAAAAGGTGTCATCCTGATACTGAAATGATAACTATTGTTGTAGGCGAACTCCACAAGGGGTAGGTGAGAATCCCAATTCCCGCCAAAGTCGATAACGCACGATCTAAGCATGTCTTCGAGGGTTTGAATGTTCTACTCACTCTGACCATCGGTCTGAGGATGATAAGTTGTACTCAACTTTACCCTCATACCTAATTCTTTCTGTAAGTCGCCCCAGAATTGGGAGGTGAATCGGCTATCTCGATCTGATATTATTGAAAACGGTATACCGTGCCTCGAGATTACCTCATCAATGTATAACTTGGCAAGCTTGTCTATTGGTAACGATTCACGCATTTCCAAGAAGTGAGTGCTCTTCGTTAGTCGATCAACCACTACCCAAATCGTATCATGACCTCTTAGGGTTTTCGGCAATTTGGTCACGAAATCCATGGTAATATGCTTCCACTTCCACTAGGAAATTTCCAAGTATTGAAGGCTACCATAAGGTCGTTGGTGCTCTGTTTTCACCTGCAAACAAGTCACGCACCTCTCTACGTAACGAGCCACGTATAGCTTCATAACGGGCCACCAATATGTCAATTTCAAGTCCCGATACATCTTGGTGCTACCCGGGTGAATGGAGTATTTAGACTTGTGCGCATCTTCCATCAACAGTTCACGATTGCCTCCAACCTTGGGTACCCATATACGTCCTTGAAACAACTTTAAGCCACGATCATCCTCTGCAAGAAGCAAGTGTTGTTTCATCATTACTTCACTCTTAAGGTTTTTTTCCAAAAGTGCTTCAGACTGTGCCACTTTGATCCGATCGATCAGACTGGACATTACATCAATCCTGGTAAGCACGACTTTCGTCCCACTACCGTACTCCTTTCGGCTCAAAGCATCCGCCACTACATTCGCCTTACCCGGGTGGTATAGCAATTCACAATCGTAGTCTTTGAGCAGCTCGAGCCAACGTCGTTGCCTCATGTTTAGTTCTTTTTGATCGAAAATGTACTTCAAACTTTTGTGATCAGCGAAAAGCGTGCACTTGGTACCATATAGGTAATGTCGTCAAAGTTTTAAGGCGAACACCACCGCCGCTAACTCCAAATCATGGGTGGGATAATTCTTCTCGTGATCTTTGAGTTGTCTTGATGTGTATGCTATCACCTTTCCCCATTGCATCAGGACGCAACCCAACCCCATTTTCGAAGCATCGCTAAAAACTACGAAGTCTTCGGACCCTTTCGGCAAGGAGAGAATCGGGGCTTCACATAGCTTCTTTTGGAGAGTTCTAAAAGCATTTTCTTGTTTTTCTGTCCAGATAAACTTCACATTCTTCCTAGTTAACGCCGTTAAGGAAGAAGCGACCTTGGAGAAATCTTGGATGACTCTCTTGTAATAACCGGCCAGACCCAAGAAACTTCGAATCTCTGACGGATTCTTTGGTGGTTCCCAACTCATCGTTGTCTCGATCATGGATGGGTCCACCTTTACCCCGTCTCGAGTGACAATGTGACCCAAGAATTGGACCTCATTTAACCAAAAGTCGCACTTGGAGAATTTTGCATACAATTTCTCTTTTCTTAACACTTCAAGAACTTCTCGAAGGTGTTGTTCATGATCCGACTCGTCCTTGGATATGACGAGTATATCGTCAATGAACACTATCACTGACTTATCAAGGAAAGGTCGGTACACTCGGTTCATCAAGTTCATGAATATTGTCGGTGCATTCGTCAAACCAAAAGGCATGACCAAGAATTCATAGTGACCGTATCGTGTTCTAAAAGCTGTTTTCGACACACCATCTTCTCTTACTCGCACTTAGTGATACCTCGAGCGAAGGTCAATTTTAGAGAAGCAACTTGCTCCTTGAAGTTGGTCAAAGAGGTTGTCTATCCTAGGAAGAGGATATTTATTTTTCACTATTGCCTTATTGAGCTCTCTGTAGTCAATGCCCATCCTCATGGTGTCGTCCTTTTTTTTACAAACAAGACTGGAGCTCCCCACGGCGACGAACTCGGTCTAATAAACCCTTTCTCCAGAAGGTCTTGCAGTTGAGACATCAATTCTTGCATCTCTAATGGCGCCAAACGATAAGGGGCTTTAGCAATTGGAGTGATTCCCGGAATGAGGTCAATCCGAAACTCCACCTGCCTATCGAGCGGTAATCCGGGTAACTCTTCAGGGAAGACATTGGGAAATTCATTGACCACAAGCACATCTTCAATTTTCCTTTTCTCTAGCATGGTATCCAACACGTACGCAAGAAACGAGGAGCATCCCTTAGCTAGACACTTACGTGCCTTCGCCATGGATAAGAGTACTACATTTCATTTACTTCCTTCTCCATAAACTAGCACCGCGTCCCCTCCCGACATTCGGATCAACTTTTTAGAGCATAAGATTTTCACTCGGTTCTCAACTAACCAATCCATCCCTATTATGACATCGAATCCGCCTATAGCCATGGGTATGAGGTCCACCCAAAATTCCTTTCCCTCAATTCCCAACACGTAACCTCTAACAATTTCACGCACCAAAACTTGACTACCATTCGCTATCTCTATGATCAATGCATCTTCTAGTGTACTAGGCGGCGTATGCAAGTGTTGATAGAATGTAGTGGACACAAAGGAACATGAAGCACCCGAATCAAATAGTACGTGAGCAGGTACAAAGTTAACAAGGAACGTACCTGACACCACATCCGTCGACGCCTTAGCTTCTTCTCTCGACATCTGAAAGGCTCGAGCGGTTGCTTTCGGGGAGCCCTCTTTTCTTCCTTGACTCCCACCTGTTTTCAGCTTTTGGCAATCATTCTTGAAATGGCCCTGTTCTCCGCATCCAAAACATATGGGTCCCTTAATTGGACACTCGTTTCGTGTGTGGCCTGCCTTCCCACACTTAAAGCATTTGGTGGGGGTAGAGTTGGTGCTACACAAGCCGTGATGTTTGCTGCAGCATTTGGGACACCATCTAGCTTCTTGTTTGGGATGGGCTCCGTGATTGTTGTTTCCAAAGTGGTTTGGCTTTTTGGATGGTGCGTAAGGCCCTTCCCACTTCCTCTTCTCTCCACTCAACATCCTTTCTTCTTTTCCTTTAGCATAAACCGATTCCAAGACTTTGGCCTCTTCGATTGCCTCCCTAAGGGTGGAAGCTCTGGAGTTCCTAACTATCACCATCATGTCCGCAAGCAGCCCTTTGAGGTAGGCTTTCATCTTATTCTTCTTCGTTGGGGCCACATGTCCCACTAAATTTAGTTTTTCCATGAAGAGTCGGGTGTAGTCCCTCACTGACAAATTTCCCTTCTTAAAGGTTCGAAACTCTTCTTCGATGCAGTCCATCTATTGTTCATTGCAATATTCTTCCATTACCTTTTCTTTGAATGTGGCCCAACTCAACTTGGTCAATTCTGTAACCTCGATGGTTGAGATGACAATGTTCCACCAGGTAAGAGCTGCACCCCTCAGCATTTGAGAGCCAAACTTCACTTTTTGCCCCTCATCACAATCACAAGCCCGGAAGGCTTGCTCGATTTCCCGAAGCCAATTCATGCACGCCACGGGATCATCCGACCCCACAAATTCCGGTGGTTTGTAACATAGAAAGGTCTTGTAAGAGCAAACTCTATCCATTTGTCTCGCCTCAATCGTTGCTAGTTCTTGGGTTGGGATTCCATTTCCGGTACCCCCAGATCCTCCAATAATTATATTCTCGGCAACTGCCTCATACGGTTGTTAGCATCTCTATCCTCCAACAACTTCAAAAAGAACTCTTGTTGTTGGGCCATAGCTCTGTTCATAGCGTTCATCATTGTGCCCATCATTCTTGATTTCAGGGTTTCTTCTTCTATTACGGGGTTAGAGGTGGCAAGGTCGACTTGGGGAACGTAGTCAACTCCACTGCCCAAGATGTCTTGTCTAGGATGAACCCTCGCGATGGTGGTCCATGGTGGTTGATTCGCAGTAGACTCAGTCACCGCGTGACCTTTTGGTGATGTATTCCTTCTACTCCTAGTATTCACCATTATAGTCTGACATACAAGAGAGTGAAAGAGAGTTAAGATAGGAAGAATACGAAATTAACATAATACGTATCGACACATTCACAAATCTTTGTCATAACAGTGAGTCTAAGCACGCTTATGCAACAACATACTCAAAATAGCATTAGCTAAGTGAAATTTCGAATATGATATACATAAGAATCCTCAACACCGTCGTCACTATTCATGAATTGTGTAACTCCGGTGACCCTAAAGTTCTCCTATCTTAAAAGTTTCTACCCACATCTCACAAATTAATACTTACAATCTTGGGTTAAGTCTAGGCGTCTTAATTCCTCACCTAGTTTGCTTAAACCAAAGTTTTGATACCAACTTGTAACACCCTAAATATACTTTATCCATGGTGTTCCTTGTCATTTTTCACATATATTATATATGGTAAGTCATCATCCTCAATTTTATTTTGGATAGAGGTCAGGATATGTCCACATCCCACCCCCTGACACCCCCCCCATACACACAACATTTGGATTGGATGCATTGGGCCCGTTTAATTTGCTTGGTTTAGTTATCATCCTCATAACACATTCGTCATCTAAAGAAACTTTGTTCATCTTCTAACCTAATATTTTTTGGTCCTCGCTCTCTTTAAGGGATTGCCATTTCTAGAACCTCAAATTATTAGCTATTTTGGGAGAGAATTGGAGATGACTTTGTTGATATATTCATTCTCCAAATCTAACCTATGTGGTGTATATATACACACAAACCCACACATATTAATTGAAGTCACCATTTGGAAAACTTGTAACAAATAGTATATGTTCATGAATGAGGCAAAAATTGCAGATGGTAGTGTAGCTCAGAAACAATAGTTGAGAATCCAATCCAAAACCTATATATGGCTCTTATTTTTCCCCTCAGTAAGCAAGCAATTGACTTCTTATGTTATACAATAGTTTCTCCCTATGTTGGCTGTTATTGGGCTACCGGCAACCAAAATGTTGGTCTGCATATGTTAATTTTGTTTGGAAATAACTACATTTGAAATTTTGGATACTAGAAAACCTAACTCTTTTGGATGAATTGAAAAATGGACTTGAAGAATAGCTGCCAACTATGTATGGTTATCCCTTTACTGAAAAAATTAAAATTATAAGAATATGAATTTCGGACAAATATATCGTCATCGTTATCATTTTGGTAAATTAACAAACAGAAATTAATGGTGCAAATAATAACTAGGATCAAGCGATGCCAATATTATGTGATGCAATTGGAATGAAAAAAATCAAACTTACTGCTGTTTGAGTCAAAAAAATTGATTCCTTTATTAACGTATAATGAAATACATTCTCATGCCAACTGTGCCAAAATAGTTAATTATAGAATATAAAAAAGGGTCATGTAAACCGGTGAAAACCCCATGGTTAAAAGAAAAACAACAAATCTGAAACCCCCCCCCCCTCATCCCCTTCATGAGTCGTGCCACCTTTGGGTTGATGAGAAATGAAAGAAGCATTTTGGGACAGAGTGACGAAAGAAAAAAGGGTGTGTGACAAGTATAAGAAAAAAGGAACCATAACAAGGTTTTGTAACATAGAACCGAACACTATGAGAGCAAGAACATTAGTTGTTTGTGGGAAGGACTATCTAGTCAAATGACTTTTTACACCAGAGACAAGTCATTTGAATGTTATTCATTTAAAAAGAAAGGTAATGTTCCTAATGGAAATATTATTTAAGGTCATTTAACTAAATGGCCCATGTCGGAAAAGTGGCAAGTGGTGATGGACCTTTACCCTCCATTTTTGCATGATTAACCTCATTTCAGATGCAATTGGTCATATGATATAATGAACACACAAACAAGTTCAGAATGAGTTTGATGATATAAATTGAAATTCTACACCTCTTAAGCAGATCTTACATTAAAAGGTGCCCTATAGCTATTGATTATAGCGTTCATCCAGAAATACTATTTACTACATGTTAGAAACTCCTCGGCTACAAAACGACAATATCAAATAGAGAAAGATGAAGAATATGCTGATCCACCTACTATACATCCACAATTATCCACGACTAAGATGCTCATTCAAAGAGGTTGTTGTACCGAAGATGTTTCTCATAGAAGTTGATCAACTGTAAGTATCAATAGATAAATATAAATGAACACTCTGACCATATGTTGTTTCTTGACTCTTTTTTTTTTCTATTAAACTTGGGGTGGGGGTGCAAAGGAAAGAAGTTTACCAGAATTGGATTGTTTCCTTTGAGGTATTTGTTATCAACAACAACCTCTTCTCCATCTGACCTGCTTACAACCAACCAAAAAAGATTTTGCCATTAACTATGGGTGAACTAGAGGAACTAAATTATGTTATAGAAGTTTGGTATCAACATTGCTTTCACATTGGCCAATACCTTGATGTTTTCAGTGAGTCAATGGTTAATAAAAGTGCCTTATAAACCATGCATAGTAAAGTTCATAAATATGATCAAATGGACATCAAACTAACTATAAAAAATAAGAAGAGAGAGAGAGATAAGTGAACAAACCTTCTGATCAAAAAGCATATAGACACCTCCTCTGTGTCGTTAACTATAGATGTTGAATAGCTCACGGGGTTGATAATCTTTATAATTTCAGAGATGATTGGAGGAGCATCTACGATGTTATCAGGATCCAACCCGTTTGTATTCTTAATCACATTTTGTCCAACTACGACACCATCAACGGTTGTGTTTCCAAGGGCATCATTTCTGAGAGCTGAGTTTGGTTCTTGCTTAAACTGCTTAACAGCAAAAGACTTCCTCTTTCTAGCTTCAATGAAACCATCTAGCTTCCGTTCCATCAACCTTCAAGATTCCATCTGCAGGTCTAACTTCTACTGGACTAACCCCTTCAGATGGTCGAGCTTCTTGAATATGGATAGCAACATCACTCAAGCTATCCTGATTGCGGGAAGATGAAACTTTAAGTTGATTAAGATGTGCATCCAACTCATTTCTCTCTTGCCTTTCTCCAATTTGTGTGGAAACCATTAACAATCCAGTATCATGTAACAGGTTCGTTGTTCCGTTATTGCCTGTAGCCCCAACATTGTTTTCTGTTTCATTACTAAAGTTGGCATCAGGGACAGAAGGAACTGATAAAGGTTCCTCAATAAATGTGACTTTCACGGTAGGTATGTCATATGAAGCAACTGGAGAACTCTGTTCTGACTGTTTCTTTTGCTTCTTTTTTGGCTGTGGTGTAGGAACCACGGACTGCTTGCGCTTACCTTTCCTGTTTGATCTTTGTTTCCCGTGCCTCGAGCTTCAATTTTCAAAAACAAGAAGAAAGCATCAATAATCATATTCCTTGTCATTTCATTTGTAACAAATTAGGGCTTGTTTGGGATATGCTTACAAGTTACAATTAAGCATATAGATTCAATGATATACAAATGTTAAGGTCATTTTAAGTATTGCTTGTCTTTGTTTAAGTATTGCTTGTCTTTGTTACAAAAAGAAAGTTGTTTACTGCTTCTCTTTATAAGCACATATGGAAGGGGTAAATCTTAAGGAAATATAAAATTTATATCTGGTGCTTATAAACATGAATGCCCTTGTGAAATCCTAAACCAGCCCTTCATGTAATTGAATACAAAAAAACACAGATTAATGAAAGGAAAACCTCTCTTCAAATGCTTCAATGACATCTGGACATGACAAGAGATTCTCAACAGGTTCCCAAGTATTCGTTGCCTCCGGCCAACCACGCCTTCATTAGAGCATAAGCATATGTTTTAATCAACTGAAGCATATTCATAGACATACCAATAATCCAAATATCCCAATTCATAATTAAATCAGACAATGAAATGGCCAAGAGAAAAAACCATTTGAAATTGGTGTCATGTGTGGGAGTACAAAATCACAATTTTGGAATCAGAATCAAAGTTCACCAAGACTATGTTAGGGAACTCCAATCACATGGCTTTAATTAGGATAGGAGCAAAAATTAATTTCGAATTTGAACCAACAGATACAAGATTGATTCCATATCCCATTAAAGCTCAGGTGCTGATTCCATATCCCATTAAAGCTCAGGTGCTCTTCAGGGAACAATAATTTAGCGAAATGGTTCAAATCCAAAATTTCAAACAAAAGTAACACCGACATCGTGTTTTTCGTCAAATTAAAAGGCGTAGATTGTCGAACCCTAAAAGAACACATATAATCATGTCTAAATGAAAATTGATACAACTAAGGCACGCACCATTTTATGAGATATTGCGTTTTCCCAAAGCAAACCACCAGAGGCCGAATCGCAGAATGCAAATTCACAGA